TTTTTGCAATAACTTTTTTGTTTATTAACCGATTTTAATTTAACCAGTCTCATTTTGTAGATAATTTTACTCCCTATAAGCTGTCTGAGAGTCACTTTTCGCTAAAATTGATGGTTTTCCCTGCAAAGTGAAAAAACTGTTTTCCTCACTTATTTGTTTAAATAGAAAAGTTAGCTAATAAAAGTTTTTGACTCACGAGACGAGAGATGTCTTGTATTATGTTCCTTAAGACAATTTTACAATAATCTAGCGGATAGGACTTTTTTCGAGTTTCTCTTTTATTTTCGCTAATTTTCCTGGTGTACTATGTTTCGGTGTGAACTTACAAAAATTTACGTATTTATAAATCCAGCCAAAATAAGACTAAAATTAAGTGTTAAGTTTAAAAAATAATCATGTAGGTATTTATACATATCTTTGAAATAATTTAAAGTATCAAACTGATTTTCGGCTAAGGTGTATCACTTACTTCTAGGTTATTAAAATAATATAACATTTGGTTTGGTTTAAAATTAGGTAAGCCTTTGGTCAGATCGTGTTGAATACCTTCCTAACTTTCAAGGAAAATGAAAGAGAATTTATAGCTCCAGCACACTTATTGTCCAACAGATTAGTATCCAATTATATGACAAATTACAGATCAAAACTGTAGTAACAATTATTATAATATTAAAATTAATATAACAACATGAGAAATCTAAAAATACATATACACAAGAAATACAAAATTTAGTGGAAAATTATAAATATATCTACATATAGAAAATCAACAATTAATATTTTCTGCAGCAATAAGAAACATGTATTAATATCACAATTACTGCTCATTTTATTAAACATGACATACAGGGTGTTCCTAAATATTATGAACAAATAGATATTACGTATTCTATACTACGTATAGGTCCGTGCAAAAAAATTAGTGAAATTAAAATCAACCAAGCAATAGTACCTACCACAGTAAGAACTTTCATTAAATCCTGCTGAAATGCAAGTACATCAAGACCAGGTGCATTATCAGCTAGTTTTCTAAAATTTTCTGCCAAAGGACCTCTCAAAGCTTGTAATTGTCTCCAGGATTTAGCGTATTGTCGACGAACTAATTCGATAATGGTAGAAGTTAACGCCAAACCAACCAGAATGTATAATGTGCACAGTAGCATATATTTGGGCTGCTCTGAAAAAAAAATCAGTAGGACAGTAAAGATTTCAACTTAAATCATATTTTGTGTAAAGCTTATCGTATACTGAAAGAAATACCCATTGTTCATTCTTAGGTTATAAACGACATTATAAGAACATTGTATTTTATATGACAGATGTGAATATTAAAATGCGTATTGCTATCATAAATATACAGGGTGTTTCAGTCATAATGTCATTAATTTTAACAACGTATTCGGAAGGACTATTAATAAGCTAATAAATAGAGCATTAATAGCAGTATTTCCAAGTTTTTTTTTTTTTTGAAAATGGCGCATTTATTTAGCAATCGCGAATATTATGATATGCTCATAATTTATGGCGAAGCAAACAAAAATGCCCACAGAACTTCTCAAGTGTCCCGTACTACAAGATATCCTGAACGACGTGCCCTCGCACCGCGAACATTTGTTGCTGTAGCGCAAAGAGTTTTGGACACCGGTGAAGTACAACCGTGTCGAGGTCGCGACGATGGCCCACTAAGAATCTTAAATGTCGAGGAGATGATTTTAGATCTCATCGAAGAAAATCCGCATCGTAGCACCAGATATATCGCACAGCAAGTAAATATTTCACATCCCGTTGTGTGGCGGATATTACAAGAAGCTCCGTTGTACCCATTTCATATTCAACGTGTTCAAGGGCTTACTCCTTAAGATTTTCCACTACGTTGAGGTTTTTGCGAATGAGTGCTTCTTCAGGAACATGCAAGAAATCCTCAATTTACAACGCAAATACAGATGAAGTATGTTTCAGTCGAAATGGTGTACATAATGTCCACAACATTCACCACAGGACTATCGAAAATCCACACGAAATACGTCCCGGTGCCTTTTAGAAACTGTTTTCAGTGAACATGTAGGCAGGTATCGTTAATGACACTTTAATAGGAACTTTTGACTTGCCTAGACGCATAGACGGTACGTCATATCTAGATTTTTTGCAAAATCGCTTGCCGGAGTTTTTGAAAGACGTGCCATTAAATGTTCGGCAAAATATGTAGTTACTGTAAGACGGAGCTCCCGCTCACTTTTTTCGAGGAGTGCGCGACTTTCTAAACATTACTTTTCCCGATGGCTGGATAGGCTGCGATAACCTTAGATGTCCCCCCGGTCCCCGAACCTCCACTCTTTAGACTTCTTTTTGTGGGAATATGTGAAAAGTGTTGTGTATTCCACGGAAGTGCGTGGCATCGACCAACTGTGACATCGTATTGCCGGAGCCTGTAATGCGATTCGAGTGCGTGGCAATGTTGCAACGCCGCTTTCGAGTGAATTGAATACGTCGCGTTGAAGCTGGTGTGCATGCAAATAGTGGGTACATCGAACATTTTCTATGAAAATCAGCAGTTCTCAAAAAGTGGCTCTTTGCAATGTTGACGTAAGTCAGATTTTAAAATTGCATTATACTCAACACAAATCCATGTATTTACCTAATTTTGACATAACGGACCCTATATAGTAAATATAATAGACTGTCAGTAACAATAATATTACATGTTCATTATATGTTTTCAGTTTTTTTTATCAAATAATTAACAAAAATATTAGATTAAGTTAGATTAGACCAGGTAACATTTAGCTAAATTGCATGTACATACATATATCATAATTATGTATATGTATAGGTACCAGTGGCGGCCCGTGGGTTGGAATATAGGAGGGGCGCATTTTGAAAAGAGGACGTACATCATAAGAGCTGCGAAAAATTTTAAGGAATTTGAAGGTCATTGTGTTTTGCAAGTACCCCAAAATGAATACTGTCAGTGTGTACAGTAGCTACTTAGATACAATGCGAGAAATAAAATTCCAACGTGTGGGGGCTGAAGTGGATAATCGATCAACCAACCCAGTTAGGATATAATTATGTAGATTACTGTAATAGTTCATTCTGTATAGTTTTTGAAGTTCCTTTAAAAACATGGGCATCACTAAGATGTTTATCTAAAACGGGATCAATTTTTGCACTATAGTCTATCAGTTCTAAAAATACCCCTTTGTTTACCGAGTCACTTTTTTTATTATGTCCACGAAGAGAAAGGTTACATGTACCACATAGTTTTAAGATATTTAAAATTTTTGAAAGAAGCAATCGATTTTTCTTAACTGTTTCGTTATGACTATTTACTATTTATTTGTTCTGCATAAGCACTATTTAAACAAGAAGCAATATTTACTCTTCCTAAAAGTAAAAAACTCACCAACTTATTTTTGTGTTTAGGAGAATTTTCATGTTTCTTAATTTTAATTTCTAAATGTTTCAAGTCAGAAACTCCAGTTTTCGTCCAGTTTTCTTCGCCTCCTCCAAACAATAAACATACAAAACAAAAAAATCTATTTGTTTGGTCACAACCACACAACCACAGGGTCTTATCATAAATGTTTTTATCAAATTTGCGAAAGCCGGCCCACTTTTTGCACTCTTTCTGCACCTCAACTAAATTCAACACTGGCGTTGGACGTCCGTTATTTTTCAATTCGACTTTTTCCTCTAAACTTAAATTACTAATAACAAGTTTTTTTATTTCACAAACCCTCATTTTAAACTTAAACTTATAAAATATAATGTCTTAAAAAGCGCCAAAGCAAAAACAAAACACATATAACCACACTTCAGTGATACGGGTTACTGCCTCATGGAGTCCCAAAACAAAGCGCGCGAGCCTATCGTCGCCTATCCCCTCCACGTGCCAATTTGTCCAATCATATGTAAAAATATGCTTGCACGATGGACTCAGATTTCACGGTCCGCGATGGAGTGGGGATTGCGCGCGCGGTTAAACATAACTCTTTGGTACGATCATAGATGGCAGATGGCATTAATCTGAGCTACGTTCACGGAGTACATGCACTTTATGCAACCAACCTAACATCCAAGAGATATTGAATGCATGCTATTTAGATTTCTTATTGATTTAAATAAATACATTATTTTAAGTTTATAGTTTGAAAATATCTGGGGGGCGGAGTCCCAGAGTCGTCCTTCACGAGCCGCCACTGATAGGTACTATTGCATATTTGCAACCGACTCTTCAAAATATCCGTGCGATCTCTTAACGCTGCTTTATGCGCATTTATTATTATCTAATCCGTTGTTAATATATGTACTTTACTCTGAGTAAATTATGGATAATGTTCAGTTTAATATTAAATTGATTTTATTATGAAATAACTTACTTGGAACAATATCTCCAAATCCAATTGTAGTCATCGTAATGAAACAAAAATAAAATCCTTCGAAAAATGTCCAATCTTCCTCCCATATGACAAATAGTCCGGCTCCAGCTGCTAAATATACGAACAGGAAGCACACGGACCAAAGTGCATAAGAAGATGTCCGTCGAGCCACCATCGCATTCCTGAAAAAGTAAAACAGCATTAGTAGTTGATTGTCATAGTGATCTAGAAAAATTGAATTGTAACCATAATGTTAACAAGCATTATCATATTGTATTTGGGACACTATTTACAAAAGTCAAAATATTTCATCTAATTGAAAAACGTATATTTCTCACCATAAAAATTTTCAACTCACTATTACTGACTTTATAGAATGCTAGTTCAGGTCAGCAGACAAATGTTCATTTTGCCCATTATAAGTACTAGGTACACGTTACTGGTCTACCCAATATTATTGTTTTATAATAATCAAGTTTAATTGTCTGCAATGTAGTAACTGGAACTAACACTGGCATATTGTGACTTCAGATACTATGAAATAAATAATGACTATTATAATTATTTTCAGGCGTGCCGACTTCAATTCAATGACACTTTCGACTAACGTATCTGAGAAATAATCGACGTTCTACCAATCCGGCTGGACGTAAAGCAACATATTTTCGAGAAAAACTTGATTTTGGTTGGTATTGGGAATTTTTATAACTGTATTAAGGTGTATTTCACATCTTCAACATTATCAATTGTTAAATTGACTAATTCGTCAGAGCGGCATGCGCCTGCAACCCCAATATTAGGATGACCTATAAAGAAGTTATTTTACAATGTTCTTTTATTTTTAAAACGTGTATACCTTCATCACTAAATATAAATTATCAGATGCAATATTCAAAAAGCAATCAACTTGCTCCTTTGTAAAAACTCGCGATTTTTTCGGTACATATTCCTCCTTTTGTCTCTTGAGAAAAGCACGTAACTTTGAATATTTGCTTCTTTATATTTAATGTTTACCGCAACATTGCATATTGTGACCAAAGCGCTGACGGCTTCATTTTAATTGTTAAGTTTGAGAAATATACCTTCTGACTGAATACAACTTAATGTTATTTTGCACCAATCCATAAAACATAGTATTTTTGTATATGTATACAAATTTTTCTGTTTGTTTTTTTCAGTGGATCTTGAGTTTATAAATATACTTACTTAAGACTAGGAGGTAGAGGAGGAAAATGTCGAAATAAAGTGGAAACTGCAGAAGCAAATAAACGTCCCCAGTCTGCAATTACTGTTAGAGTTAAAGGTATTCCAACAAGGGCAAAAACTACACAGAAAGCACGTCCTTCAGTTGTAACTGGAACAATATTTCCGTAACCTACAGAAGAACGTAAACAAATTACAACTAGAAGAGAAAACACTATTATTTTCAATTTAAAATGTATTTGTTGGTATTGTTTTTAAATTATATTACAATTTATTTAAAATATTTCATTTCATGATCTTTTTAGATTTTGAAACAAGATTCTATAAAATTTTTGGTCACCCTGTATACGTAACAGATTAAGATTATATGTATTTTAAATAGTTTTAAAACTTCTACCGCGACCTATACAGTGTGGACCCTTTTAGTGATGCATGTATTGGTATCATGGAAACTATAAGAGGTAGAAAAATGGTTAAATGGAGAAAGTTTTAGACAGTTCTGTTGCTAACTTAATAGCGCTTGCAGAGCGGTCAGAGCTCTTTAGGTTTTTGAGTTATTTTGAAAAATAGTAAATGTGGCGTTTCGAAAATCGTCTGTAACTTTTTTATTTAGAAGAATTTTTAAAATCTGTGGACACTTTTCACAGCAAGTTTTTTCGAGGAATTTCATTGCGACGTTTCGAAAAACTGTCATCAACTTTAATTTTTCTTATAGGGGCCATATTGAATTTTAAGCTAAGCTAATACAGAATTTGTTTGGCTATAATATAAGTAAGAAAAAAAAATTAAAAACAACCTAAAAATCAATACCTTTTTTAATATTTTTAATAAATTTCGCAACACTACATAATTTTTAGAAACTATTATAGAATAGTCTCAAATTTTTTAAAAGCGTACAGAATTACATTGTAATTAGGTAGGTACTAGTACCATAACAATTCGAAATACATTGTACCTACTTTAATCATATTTTTGACTACTTGGAATGGGAGTGTTTCATAAAAACATATGGTTATATTTTAACATATTATTATTATTATCAATATAAAAGAAATCCGCTTTAATTTTTTTGTTATAGGTTCTTTCATATCTCGAATATGGTGAACAAACCTGTACATCAATCGTAATTAGTTGGAACCACTAATCACCATTAAAAATATCTTCTTATGGAAAAGACCCAATACTCACCTATAGTAGTTAACACAGTAGAAGAGAAAAATACTGCTTTAAGGGTGGTCCACTTTACCATGTCGCCCTGTGGAAACCGAGGTATACCAGCCATAAAAGAATCTTGAAGAATACGCTCATATTTAATGAGTTCATTAGAAATTAAATAATTCGAATTTGGCGACCCTGTAGTATTTCCTATAAATTCTATTAGTTGTTGCCTTTCCCGCAATATTGTTCTATTAAAATATTTTATTCTTGACACTTCAGCAGGGTACTCAAATCGCCTAAAAACCTAGAAAAAAAATAACTTGTTAATATATTTCTTATTATTTTATTACAGAAATGTAATACCCGAGCAAAATTTAAAATTTACATTTTTTAACATTGAATAAATTTTTTGCAACAAATTTGAATATTTGAAAATGTTAACATATTTTCACATAAAACGTTATCGTTATAAAAAGTCAATTTCATTTTGATTATCCTCTTAAAAGAAAAGATTTCATAAAAAAGAAAGTTTATTACAGCCGTCTTTCCTTTAAATTATAAGGATTTGTCAACAATGCATGCCGCAGTTCCCAAATATGTATGCGCTATGACTAACGCATTCCATTGTTTGAGGTCACATTAGCTTGTCCAGTGGCGGAATAAAAAAAAGTTAAAAAAATTCAATTTTAGGACGGTATTTGAAAAAACGATCTTATGATAGGTACTTGTTTATAAAGATCAAAGGTAACGATCCAATATCATTTTTTCATGGTTAGTTAATTTCTTCACAATGTTTGAACATTAGTTAAAAATTCAGTTTTCAATAAATCTATCTAAGAAACTAATTATATATCAAAATAAAGATGTTAGCTCATATGCACAAATCGTAATACATGCTCGTGAAGTGTTTGATCAATTTCATCTAGCCGGTGAGTCGCACAAACGTGAGAGAATGCGCACTATATACAGTGTGATGATAAAGTTTGGAACAAAATTCAACTTTTATACTGAGTGATTTAAAAAAAAACGCCGAGACAGATCGATTTTGTTCTCGGGAGGGGCATCTTTTAAGAGGATTCAGTTGTATACAGGGTGACCCAGAAAGCTGGATTGCCAATAAATTTGTGTTTTCTTATGGAGCACCCTGTATATTTTTTCATATTCGGATAAAGCTACAGTGATGCAAGGTTTGATGGGTCTATCTCAAATAACGAACGAGATATTGCGAGAAAATGACATTCATTTCAAAAAATTATTTAATGCAATTTTTCATAAAAGAAACTGTAGGTACTTGGAAACGAAACAAATGCAAATAATTTACGAAAAAAAAGGAAAAAAGTTTCCAAGTTTAGCAACAAACGTTAGGGTTCTTTTTGTTGGCACTCGGGTCACTGATAAAAATTACTAAATTTCGTTTTTTTTTTTTTGGTCTTTGCTGACTGCCGTCCCAGAGTAACGTGTACAACGAAGACCACAGATTCGTGGACCCAAAATCGGCAGATTTAGGCTAATTTACCTATATCCGAAATTGCTTCGTTTGACCGCCAGATGGCCTCAAAGTTCGTGAAAACTTTTTAAATTTTGTAAATAATTCGAATACGTATTAATCAATTTTGATTATTTTTAAGCAGTGGACTTTAGCTTTCAATCTACACATTTTGGTGTTATACAGAGTGCTTTTTAAAACTTGCAACTCCTACAAAATTGATATACAGTGACAATATTCGTTCATAACTTTTCCTCTTTCGGGCAATAAAGACAACTATTTTTTATTTGATAGGTGATACCATTTGGAAGTTTCTGGACGTCTTGTAGAATTTTAATTAAAAAAATTTTGCGTACAAAAAAATATTTTTTAAATGTTATCTTGTCAACCATTTACTACAATACTTAACAAAGTGCTAGTTGGCTTGATTTTATAGGCCATGTACAAAAATATCATTGCTGTCAAGTTAAATTTTGTTGAAGTTGTCGAAGGGAATTGTCGTCATTCATTAATCATGGCATATACAAATTCAGAGCAAATTGACATGATAATGGTGTTAGGTTTCTGTCAAGTGAACTGCCGACAAAGTGTGAGAGTGTATAGTGAGCGTTATCCAAATAGGCAGGTGCCAGGTGCCAGGTGCCAGGTGCCTTACTACCAAACATTTTCAAACATTGAGAGACGTCTTCGCGAACATGGTTCTTTTGCCAGCCGAACTGTTGATCGTGGATGTTTACGCTGGAGCCGCTAGAGCTGAACACGAGGAACAGATTCTGGATGCAATTGTTCAAAAATCAAAAGAGCAGTACTAGGCGATTGAGAGTCTCAAAAAGTGGTGTGAATCACACTTTGAGGAAGCAATTATTGCACCGTATCACATCCAGTCTGTACAAAATCATCTACAGCAGAATTTAAATATCCGTATGGTTTTATGCAGGTTCATTCACCAACAAAGAATCCATGTCTGAACTTCCACGAAAAAAAATCCTTTTTACTGATAGGGCCTGTTTTATCAGAAGCAGAATAATAAATATTCACAATGAGCATGAATTTCGAATCAATGTTTGGTTGGGGATCATTGATATTATTATTGGGCCTGTTATTCTACCTAATAGACTAAATGGAGAATTTTATTTAGAATTTTGGCAAAACTCTTTACCCGAGTTATTGGAAGATGCGCCGTTATTACTCAGAGCTAACATGTGGTTTATGCATGATGGCGTTCCACCATATGTCACTGTAAACGTCCGGCACTCTGAAAACAACAGCGTATGCTTCCATATCTAACACAGAAGAGTTATGTATATTCAAAATGCCATAAACGTTTTTAAAAAAGAGTGCGCTGACGGCATTGAATGAAATTTACTGCAGCGTATTCACTTAATTAGACCGTTTATTGAATGCAATATTAACCCCCTGGTTTTAACTAGTGGCGTACTACTGAGGGTGCCGCTCTATTTTCTCAAGAAAAAAATTCACCACTGGCAGTTTTTTAGAGAAATAATGTTACATTCAGGTACTTTCACGTTAACCGAATGAAAACTGTTTCTTGGTGTTTTTTAATAATAATAGCAGCCGTTTAAGAGATATTTGGGCTTGTTTTTATGTTTTAGTGAATTTCCTAATAAATTTATTTGTTTATTTGATTAAAAAAACTCCTGGTTTTAACCAGTGACGTGCTACAAAACGTCCGCCAACTTTTTTCACCGGCGGTTTTTTGTAGAAATAACATTATTTCTAGAAAAAGTATCAAACTAAATAAAATAACATTAGCAAATAGGTTGAATAAGTAATTGAGTAACGAGTCCTACAACAATTATTCAAAACGAAGTCCTTTCACATCGATACACTTTTGACATCTTCTAATCTATTTATAGAGGAGCCTATCATGACATGATTTTCCCTGAAGAGATTACAATTTTTCACTATTCTTTGCCACAAATCGTCTCGTGTTCATAAGCCCAAGAAGGACTGCAGCTTCAGAAATAAATAAACAAAGCTAGTTATAATACTAAAACAAGATCATTGTAAAGCTTACTAACTGATAATGCAGACAAAAGAATCAATTTTTACAGATGGATTTTAAACAAATATTGTGGACTGAATTTGAAGTGAAGTAAATTATCTCCTAAACGGCTGCTCTACTATTAAAAAACCCCAAGTAACACTTTTAATTAATTTAATGTAACAGTACCTGAATTTTAACATTCTTTCTACAAAAAAATCGCCAGTGGCGTATTCTTTCTTGGGAAAATGTGGCGGCCCCTCCAGTAGCACGCCACTGGTTAAAGCCACAAGGTTAATATTAAATTCAGTAAAAGGTCTAATTAAGTGAAAACGCTGTAGTAAATTTAATTCAATTTCGTCAGTGCATTATGAAGATATGGCACAAAAAATTTATTTTATTGTAAACTTTAACAACCTGTATCTCGAATACCGTGTACCGCAGGAAAAAAGTTTACAGAGCAAACTCAACTTATTTTTTGGTAATGAACCTATTCATGTAATTTCTGTATTTAAAGTTTGTATATTATCAGCCTGTTGATTATTTTAATGTACTTCTAAAAAATTCTACATACCAAACCACCTGCCAGTGTGTACCCCATAAGGGTAACCAAAAGTCCCACATGTTGAAGCCCGGATTTAAGTTTTACTGTTTTCCACCAATTTCTAATGCGCGATTTTACGTCCATGGTACAACTAATATAAATTCGAGTTTGAACTAAATTTTCCATGTTGATTGCCTAGTGGTATATTTAGAAACACTTAAACAAAAACGTAAAAACAAATATCACATGACTAATTCTTTATTCTCCTTCATCCTAGATCCAACTACATCGCAGTCGTCGCGGCGTTCTTGGAAAATCCATGAACAGAGAATTATTATATGCGCGTTTATACACTAAGACGCTATCTATTGCCATAACAGGGCCTACATTTTTAATTGGTTCTAATTTTAGTTGGATACATTTTTTGAGATATCCTGCAAACGTACAAATGATTGGTTTTCAATGACTGACGAAGAGTTATTTGCAATAGGTATATAAATGAATATTTTATGAAAATACTGTTTGTCATCTCTATGGTATATGTATGTATATAGTGTGCCAATAAAAACTTGGGAAAATATCGGAATTCAAAGAAAAATAAAAAACCTGAGACATGTCGATTTTCAAGGGGACACGTGATGGCGTAAGTTTTGGTGTCTTGGAAGCTACCCCGTAGGCAGGGGCGTAAAATACCTTTAAACTTTAAATGGCACCTCTATGAGTGACACCTCATTTTAAAGCTTTTTCAATTCTGCTCTAATACGACTTTTTAAATTTTTGGATATGACAATAAAATCATCACTTAAAGAACAAGACAAAATATCAGTGAATGAAAGAAGGTGATTTTATTAAGTGTTCAAATTGGTTTCCCTCCGCTTCCATACAATAACAAAATCTTTAGTTCACTTCCGAACGAACATTTTGAAGCATTTCGGGCGTTATATGACGACATTCTTCAACAGCTTCTCAAGTGAGTTCGGTTGTGTTGCATAAATTTTTGACTTTAAATGTCCCCATAGCAAAAAAATTAAGTGTATTAGATCTGGCGATCTGGGATCGAGGCCATTCAATTGAACCTTTACGTCCTATCCAGTGATTTGAAAAGTTCTGATTAAGAAAATAATGCACAGCTATACGGCATAATGTGGTGAAACCACACATTCTCTTCTGGCAAAGCGTTGTCATCTTCCAATACTTCCACAATCATCGGATAGGTATTAGTTTCTAGTTGATTCAGATACATGTTTCCATCCAGATTTCCCGGTAGGAAGAAAGGCCAAATTTAGCAGAAGTTGTCCTTGCTTCTCAGGGCTCCCTCGAGAGATCCACATTTAAAGTAGAGTCAGTGTTCTACAAGACTACTACAAGACTTTCGGAGCAAAAGAGCTTGCTCCGACATTGTCGTACGAGGTAAGATGTATCCCTGCGACGCGACATCCAGTGCTACGAGGATTGGTGCCCTCGAAGGTACAACAAATAAATAAGATCGTAATTATACGATCACCGCCTAAGTGGTCCATATTTAGAAAGTTTAACCCGACACGGCGCTCAACGTGGGGCTCGACATTCTTCGTCGAGATCTCCTCCACGAGCTCATGTCCTAGGCCATATCCACCACAGACTACAGTCTTCTGAGAATATACTGCGACCTGGCGTCCCTAGTGACGATTCACTTGAACTCCGTGCGTCTCTATCGCGGACCCAGGTCAAAGGAACTGACATCCCACATCATAGGTCACGATATGGCGCCCGACGTGGAGCTCGATTAGAACTCCCGATGTCTCCACCAAGAACCCATGTCGACCAAACACAATCTTCCGATCATATTATACGACATGGCGCTCGACGTGGGGCTCGAAGTCCTGCTTCGACGTCTTTGCGGCGAGCCCACGTTGTCGATTCTCCCAATAAATCTCAAATATTAGGCACATCGGATCAAAGAACACGGCATTTCCAAGTGGTTTTTAGGTATTTGGTGCATTTACTTTTAACCTGAAGTACACTCGACGCAAGATAAAGGTTTCCAACCTAAAAGGCATACTACTTTTTAAGGGGTAAGCCGGTGGACTATTAATAGGAATTTTGGGAGGCATCAATAATTATTAGGGGCGTGTCATATTTTTTTTATGTATGCACGTGTGTAACGACATAACAAAAAATTGCAGGCCTGAGGGCCTTTCGATTTGGCAAAAATAGTAACTATTAGTAGCTAATAGCAACTTAGAGTTATTCTGAGCTGATATTAGTTGCTAATAGGTACTATTTTTGTCAAAACGAAAGCCCCTCTGAAGTATATGCATTATAAAAAGAGAAGAGTATACAGGTTTTGAAATTATTTTGTCTTGCCACATTATTTTTCTTGTCCCTGAGAAAATTAATATTTTGAAATAAGAATTTGTGTAATCTTCTGCAGAAAGTAGGTAGATAGGTCATGAAGGCAACAAAATAAAAAAATATTGAAAACTACAGTTTTATTATAACATACAGTTTCGGGAGGAAACAATGGATATTGAGCATACAATATTTTAAAGAAACACACGTTTACTGACGCATGCGCATTGACAATAACGAACGAAATTATCTATCTTTGTCATAAGCATACGAGTTGTCCACAACTTCGGTACCATGAGTGCGACAAAGCGAACGTGATTTTTTATTTTTATCCTGGCAGTGTCGTAGGAGCTAAATAAAATTCAAAATATAAAAAGGTAAATAAATTTGTATCTGTCTAAAAAACAAACGTAAAAAAAATTCGAAGGCAACTTTTCATTATTTTAAATAATCAATCGAATAGTATAGAAAAAAAATTGTTTTTGTTTTGTTACATAATTAAAATTAACGATTAAAAATTTGAAATTGTTATAACTTTCTTATTAAAAATTAAAAATTATATCTATTTCTCTTGAAAGAAAAGTTACATTTTTTAGAGTAGATTGAAAAAACAAATTTACAAAATTCATTCATTTTTCTGCTTATGATTTTTTTTTAAATTTCTGAAATCTTCCCGTAACTTCCAGCCTCCCTAACTCTGTTAATTTTAATAGTACAAGAAAAAGTCAAGAGGCTATTTTTATGTAGAATTGTATGCTTTACAACTTTTATAAGAAACTTCAACTGATTTCATTGCGGGCACCTATCCAGTGTTCATTAATGGCGTACAGAAAAAACCAGAAGCCCATTCTGTGGTTAAAATTAAGTAAATTTTGTTACACACACGTAGGCTCTTAAGGCCGCCGTTTCCGAGCTGCAGGGTTTTCAAAATTAAAAAAAAAATTAAAATTTTTAATTTTCTTAAATCCATTCAATCTGACTATTCGTAAGTAGGTAGTAGACGTTTCGCAAGATTTATTAACTACGATGAATCGATTTTTCTATTGTAATGTCTTATTTGTGGAAGGCGAAATGGGCGGTGACTATTAGACGCCTTCATTATAGCCATCTTTCTCTATCGCACGGATTTCTATGACTTACTTTATCGCTCTCACGTAACGGCCGATGGACCATGGGGACTTTCCGACCCTGTATATGCAACTCTTAATAGAAACAAGATAGGTAATAAATAATGCTTACGGGGTCTGCTATAAGAGTTTGCCGATTAGCCCCATTTTAAAAATGCCAATCTACCAGGAAAGCATTTTTGTATAAAACTCGTAAAATGTCAGATGTGACGGTAAAATATTGGCACACGAGTTTAATGGGAACGCCCCATATAGACAAGCGGTTAAGCCGTCGCATTTCAAACAAAATACGATTCAGATTGGAAACCTTTATCTTGCGTCGAGTGCACATATATAGGTGTTTCTGAAAAAGTACATTCCTTTAAAAGGATGATAGAGGATAGAGAGCACGAAAATGAGCATGGTCTAAATGCTTCTGTTTTCGAGAAAATAAATTAAGAAAATTAACCATAAAAAATGTAAGCCGACAAACCGACCCTATGCGTCTTGTACACGTGCGATGTGTGTTGCAGTATTACTTAGCCGGCATATAAAACATTTATTGGTGTGATTGATGTGATGTGATGCAAATCCTCACGTTGTACAGAGATCTCGGTTTCAGCCACGGTTTTCAGTAAATGTGTGGTGTGGTGTGGTGTTTTTGGTGACAGAATTTTGACCGTCGTTTGGAAGTATGTTTATTAGCACATTGAAACAACTTTGAATAATTTTTGTAGAGCATATCGTCTATTGGTAAGTAATTCGTCTATTCGTTTAATTTTTGTTTTACTTTTAAACGAGATATGAATAAATTTCAGCATTTCGAACACAAAATTTAAACCGTCAAAACCCCCATCAGCGCTTTCTCACTGCAGGGTGCGCGTCAGCTCAGCTTCGATATTAAAGGTACAGCTGGCTGCCGCACTAGAGACGGCTTTAAATTTGTTTAAATAGTGCATATGATAAAATATAGAAATAAAATTAAATAAAGAATAATTTTCATATATTATATAGCAGCATCAGATTTTTCTATTTGTTCAAGTAGGAATGCTTTTTAAATTACTATCGAACAATTATAGGCATCTCTAATGAATGGATTTTTTAAAGCATAATCTGCATAAATTTCATAAATTTGCTTTAAAAATATTTCAACCCTACTCGCCGAGAATCAGAAACCACCATTATTTTAACACATTCATGTGAAAAGTTTTTTCCAAGTTAAATCATAATGTTTTAGATCATGAGTTGCTTAATAAAAGTTGCTTGTTTTCTTTACATACCTACATATATTTGTAATCTTTTCACAATTTGCTCCTACCGATTATCTTCAAATAAAATTTCATGGACTTGTTTATTATTAAAAAATGTGTTCCTCAAAAATACATTGTTGAATTTAAAGATTATTTAAGAATTTTATTCATATATTTAACAAACATCTAATTCCATGCGTCGCCAGCATCTTTCTTAAGAAACGAATTTATCACTTCTGCCGTTGCTTCATTCTCCAAGATGGTGATGTGGTTTCCCTCAAATGTATGGATTTTGACAGGTTTTTCAAAATATGTTGATAATCCATAATCTTCAGGAAGACTTCCAGAACTAACTTGACTTGGCTTGACTAGAGCTATGTCTGCTTTTAGTTTGGTGTAAGTTGGAGTGTAGGTCATCAAGGCTTTTGATCTCTTATAAATTCCATTGGCAATTATTCTTTGATAGTCCACATCATGAAGGGTGTTCTGTTTGATTAAT